ATAATTTTCCACAGGATATTACATTTTAAAACATAAAACTGGCTATAAAAAGTGTCATTGATATTGACATTAGGAATGCATTCAACCATCAGTGATTTGTGCAGTGCAAGGGTAGAAGTTCTACACCACATGCAGAATTGTGGGACAAGTCAGTTATGAGTGGAATTAAAAGTGCAGTGTATTATACAATAGTCAATTTAATCAAACCTCTATTGAAAATAACTATCAAGCAGCAACTACTGACTGCACTGTTGTAATCAGTTTAGTGGATATAAAGAAATACAGGCATTATCATGCTGTACAATAAGTTTTCATTAGTAGTTTTAAAATAAGGGCTAATTATTTCAGTAACAAATCTGGCAAGATTAATTAGCTAAATAATTTTGTAATGTTAACAGTTGAGTATTCCCAACTTTATTTAAACTATCTTTACATTTGTTAGGGATGCCACCATTATTAATCACTTTCAAGTGGAATCGCTTTTAAAAGGCTGATTGAATAAGACAATGCCAATTCAGTTTCATGTCATTTTTTATTAACCAGGAGAGACATGAGACAAATTGAAAAATATATGGAAACTGCTTGATCAACATATGACAAACAAAATTAATGAAGATTAATATATTAATTTAAAAAAGATTTTGAATGTCAATAAGTCATTTCATACAGTCAAAAGTAAAGTTTTTATATGTATCATTTTAAATATGGTTTTTATCATGAGCATGTGCCTAATGGCCAAGTTGTAGAAGATGCTACAACCAAAAGTAGATGCTTTCCAATCAGCATAACTTATTCATTCTAATAGATAAGTTATGGTCAGATTATTAGTTTTCTCAATACTTGATAATCAAGAATTGTTCATTCAAGCACAAATTATGTGCTAATCTTTTATTAACAAAAATTCTTGATAATATTTCTTGATAATTTCCTATTTAACTTTTTCCAATTCTATAAAAAGTTGAAATGTTTAATGAATAATCTTTTATCAAAAAGGATTATTTGTTTTCATTTAATTCTTTAGCTCAAATGAAACAGATTTAAAAAAAGGAATAAAAATATTATCAGTAACATCAATATAGATTTATCTCATAAGAATGTGAGTGAAAATTAATTCATACATTGTTTAAAAAAAAAAATCAAAAAAAAAAAAAAAATCAAATTGTTAAAAAATATTCCTAATGGTAAGAATACAAAAAGCCATTAACTAAAAGATGCTGATTACATTTAAAAAGTTTACTGAAAAAAGTGTTTTTTTAAGTTCTCTTGGGATTTTTCTTGTTGAAAAGATAGTGCTCCATCCAAAATGTAAAATGATTGAGTGGCAGATGATATATCTGATGATTTTAACCATTCTTGTTAAAGACTTCTGATTGTCAATGAAGAAATTTTAATCATTTCTTTATTTTGCTTATTTCAAATATGTGGCTCACAAAAAGCATGAATCACTTAACCTTAGTTACTGCATCAAATTTAATATATAAGCTCTAACTTGAGCCTTTAGTTTTTCAATGCCATGCCCTTTAGAACATAGACAATTATGGCTTTCTACAGGTCCCTTTTCTTTATTATTTATGAATTGCCATGGCTTTTCCAGAAATATAAAGTGGGTTCCTGTTTTCATGTTTCTTCATTTAGAGTTGTTATCCTAAAGTGACTACCATGCAAGGTTGGAGAGCCTAATCTACCCTGTTATTTAACATACAGCTGGAGAGAGAAGAAATGGATTAATGCCTTTCCCAAGGGCATTAGTGTGAAAGTGGATGTAACAGACTAAGCTAGAACTTCAAATTGACTTGGTGAATCCATTTTCAGTTCAGATTATGCTCTTCCCTGACATCCAATCATTACAATTTAGGAAAGAGAAAACTGATTGAAAGACAAAAATTAAGTTAGATAAAATATTTTGGGCAGAAAACATCAGCTCTAAAAGTTACTACAAAATAAGGTAATTTAAATTTGCAAATACAATTAAAAACCCATCCTGGGTATGATAAACTACATCTGTGTCCTGGGTAAGACGATAAACTATGTCCAACAGCAAGGCCTCTAATCAGGAGGTCTTGAGGAGTGTGGAACCACCTCTTAATTGCTGGTGTTTCCAGGTCCACTCTGACCTAGGGTGGTAGCACTTGTTAGGATCCCACCAATGGGCAAATAGCTAACACCCAAACTTGTGTAAAAATAGGTTTTAATACCAGAAATACTTTGTAATAAAAGAAATTATTACTAACAATAATTTTTGAAGGAAAAATTATTATCAGAAATACTTAAAAAAAAAAAAAATACCAGTAATACAAACAGCTATACATTCTTAAGTTGGATTGTACTAAAAAAATATGAGTAATTGAAAAATGGTTCAAATATATATGTATACATACACACCTTTTTTTCCAAACTATCGCTATGAATATATTTCAAAGATTTTGTTGGCATTAAATGACCCACTGAGGTTGACATGCCTTAAAACAAAACCAACCAACCAACCAACCAACAATTAAAAACTGTAAAAAATATTTATTATCAGTATCATGTTTTTTCAGCCTAATTTATTTTGGAGTAACTCCTTGGAATTTTTTGATTACTAAATGTAGTGTAGCTCTGTATTTCATTAAACATTCTTTACCATATCTTAATATGGGGTATCTTAGGCCACATTCACCAAAGGAGGTGTTTTTACTAAGATTTATTTCCTGGCACAAAGATTAGTTTCAAAACCAGATATTCTCATTATTGAATTAAGACAAGAGTAATATTGCAAGTGTTAAATTCTCTGGAATCATCTTGTGGCTAGGTTAAGCTTTATAGCCTTATATCTGATCTAGTTTAAAGTGAGTAAATAGAAGTCATCAATTTAAAGAGTAGATGCTGACATCAAATAACACAAGGTTGCGGTGAAGATAGCTGAAGGGAATGAAGAAAAATAAAAATCTAAGCAAGAAGTTGGATTATTTTTTAAATTTTGGATTTTATCACACCTTATGAACAATATTAATATTTCTGTTTTGCTGACATCATTTAAAAGATTTTCAGTAATATGGAAAGTAATTAAAGTTGCCAATTGCATATTGACACAATCAACTCAGACATACAGTAAATACTGTGATTTAATTACCATCAAATAGGCATCAGACATATGCAAGTTACATGCATAAGGCATATATAATCCAAAGAAACACACAAACATCTCTACACACACAAGTATTATATATATCTTACATATTAAAACGAATGTAAAAATAGACCAAATATATGAATTTTAATTTTTTCCCTTTCAAAATTGTAATATTCTACTATATCCAAATATAAAAAAAAGGAAAAAAATGTGGCTATGATTTCATATTTTTTATAACAAATTGCTAATAAGGCCTAGAAGATGTATTAAAGATATGATGGTGCCAATCTGTAAGACAATATCCAGCAAGAAAGTCTCTTGACTCAAGGGCAAAACATGTGAGGATATCAAGGACAGGATGTTGATCCCTTCCTTGTTATAAGTCAAGTTTAGAGAATAAGATTTAGTTTGAGGATAATCTGTATTTTAGAAATACATACTAAAGACAAGGAGATGTTAGTGGTGTATAAATAATCAAGAGAAACATATAAATGGAATATTTGATTTTTTTCTGAGAAATTTTAATTATTACTCATTATTTATAAACTGTCAAAAATGTGAAGGTAAAACTTTCATATGCTTAATATTTTTCTCCTTTAACATAAAAAAGTATTGAACAATTTAAATGAAAGACAAAAATAAGAGTATTCATTTCTCAGAATAATCTTTTGAGAGATATAAATGATCTGCTAGTCCAGATTTGTTGAAAAGAGTTTAACTATTACAAATAAAAATGGAAAACCCAAAAAAGACTATTTTTGCTTTTGTGATAAATATGGACAATATAGTTCAGAAGAAGCAGATTTCAGTATTGTAGCAATGATTACAGTAAATACTTACAGAAGAGAAAATAAATATGCAAATATATAAGTACTAAGAAGATTAAACTGTACTGAAGAATACAGTTCAGCTTTGTGCTAGTCAAGTTGCATGCCATTCAACTGTGTTTAAATAAATAAATAGAAAAAAAAATTAAAAAATCCTACAGGTGAACAATTATTGCTAAAAATCAGTGTTTTATACAGATAACATAATTTCATAATTTAAGACAGAAATAAATACAAATTAAAACTACAGATAACACATTCATATGCATGTATACACAAATAGAAGTGACTATTTAAATATAGTTATAAATCAAGGTAATTTACCAGTGATTTATCTAAATAACCTTATGCAGCAAACATGCAATTCCTCTTTGCAAAAGTCAGCTTATAAAAAAGCACACAGAATGTGCATTTTTTCAATTATAGAAATTAAAACAAAGATACAGAAACACAACAAGCAAGCAAGTCAGTGAAGAATATTTTTTCATAGCTACATTTGACAAAAATATGCAAAAGTAAAAAAGCAGAAAAAATTATTTGTTGTTCTTTTTGTTGCATCAGAAATAATACAGTGACGACCACCATGATTGAAACTGACCAATCAGTAACTATAAAGTTAATACTGTGCAATTAACTATGTATCATCTTAAAAGTATCACCAAAGGAAAAACAATGTCCAGACAAACCAGCTTTGACATAGACACTAATGTGTTTCAACCACTGATTAGCCAGTGACTATAAAACATTGAATCCAAGAGAAAAATGATAAAGTTCTCTTTTGCTCATGAAATAAACTAAAGGCTGTAATCTTAGTTAAGAAAAAGTATCATGGGAACATATAAAAGTGATTATTAATCTTTTTGTGTTGCAGGTATGCAGTTAAATCAAAAGACCATGTATTTAACTCTTGGTTACAATAGATTAAAATTGGTCACTCTTTTGGACATGAACCACGATTAATCAGTGACTACAAAGTTGATCACCACTGTAAATATAACTGATATTTTGGCTTGTGACATGAAAGCCACATCCAAAGGCATAGTTGAGCAATGTGTACCTACTAGGTCGCTTACAAATGGTATAGATTTCCGCCTTGGTTTAATCTCTGGCATACTGTCTATACTTGTGTAAAATGTATTATGTTCTGGTGGTCTACAAAAAGAAAGAGGATGAAAAATAAGTAAGCAGTGAAATAAGTTGTAATATAACATGGTGTATCAATTAGAAAAAAAATTATACAAGGTTAATCAGAAAACAATAGAGTAAAAGGAATTGTCACTAATCTCCAAAGTGATTTTGCTGAAACAAATTTAGAAATCCAAAATTTTAATGGAAATATTAAAAACTATATTTTATAGCACATAAACATACTAACTTCAGTTAACAATATTCCCACATAGTACTTAAGCAATTTAATATGTACATTTAATAGAATTTGACATTAAATTCAATGAAATTAACTCATCTACACAGATTACCAAGTAGAAGATTTGAGCTCATTTTTCATTAAATGCATATGAGAAACAAGTGTTATACTTGGCTTTAAATTAGACCTCTTTTTGATTCACTCCCCATTAAAAAATAAAGATGTTGTTCTCTGGGCAGGGGCTCCAAGAATTGCATCCAGTTCACAAAACCAAATTAAAAAAAAATAATGTAAAATAAAGTCTAAAATTTGGAGCTAATCACAAAGATTGTTGCTAAAGCAAAAGCATGACAAAAAATGCTGAGTCATGTATCCACCTTGACTGCATAAAAGACTTGCTCAGCAGCACTCAAGGCAGTATGCAGGCAGTTCACAGAATTCACAAGTGACCTCTGTCAACCTGACAAGTTTTAACACCAGACCAACTCTCCTACCTTCCAGGCTACAAGAAAAGACATTCAGCCTTGATCCATTATACTGGCAATATAGATAATCTTATTTTAAAAAATTTTGTCTTTTCTTTTTGATTCATCAACAATACTTTGTTTTCATTTGTTAACCTTGCAACTATATGCAGTATATAAAATAAGGAAAACAATGATTTTGTTTTTTTTAAATAGCTGATGGGCCAAGTGTAAAGAATCAAATAATGTTCAAAGTTTCACAAGCAAGTATATTTTCTCAAAGCAAGTATAACACATATATTGTAAAATATTGCAAATAATCATGATGGAAACTTAGAAGCTGAGAAAATAAATGAAATAACATAGCATCATAGCAAAGATTGATTTAATAAACATAATAAAATTAACTGATATTGAAATACTTATAAGTCAAGAAAAATGTTTTATAATACACAGATCTTACTTTTAAATTTTCCAATATTAAACAGCAATTATTACATGAACTGAAAATGAACATTATTAAGATTCAAACAACAGAAAAAAGGTCAGTGATTTTCAGCAAAATGGTTGTCTTGCTTTTGTAAAAGCAAGTCAACCATTTCTGACAACTAGTATTGAGTACTTGCAAACATCAAGTCATCAGGATTTATGCTTCCTTGCATTTTAACTTATGAATTAATTTTTTTTAACCATGTAAACCTAAATACAAGGAGAATGCAGAAAAACTCATTTAGTAAAAATTGAAATTTTAAAGGTTTTGAATAATTACTTAAAAAAAAGTGATCAAAAACTGAGACTGTTTTTATATATTGAATGTAGAAAAATGCCTAGTGTATGTAAACTGTCATTAACTGATTGTAACTGATAACCTTATATTTTTAGTTTAAATATACATTTTTCTATATAATCTCCTACATATATTCCTACTTTGTTTTTTTTTTATCTAATCAAAGAAAGTTAGAGTATAATTCCAAAATCATTAACCATGAAGAATAAAAATTGTTAAAAAATACTTGAAGACAAGATTATCTATAAAATTCTTAATAGCTAAAATTAAATAGAAAATCAGTAATACTTGTTGGCTGCCAAAAAATATTTCGCATAAAATGCTTTTACAAAAATCTATTCCCAAAAGCTGATTAAGGATTTAAGAAAAAATTGATTTTAGTATAGAATTATATCATATCTTTTTTTTTGTAATGAAATTTTTAAAAATTGCAACATTTAGTTTAGAAATCTTAAATAAATTTGAAGCTTCAAGTTGTTCCTCAATAATAATTGATTGCAATAATGGTTGTTAAGATAGCACATTTTCTGGTTCAAAAAGTAATTTTTTTCTAAAAATAAACCCTCAAAGTTCAATGAATCATTGAACTCAAATATTATGCTACTTATTTGCTTACACTTAATTGTAAAGAAAGAATTCTAGTACAGTTTTTGCAAATTTTGCTGCACAGATTAAGAGTGCCTTCAAAGTGAGTTTATTTTTTGACACAAGGAAATACATCAATCAGATGAACTCTATCAATCTTTCAGATCGATGAAAATGCATTCATTGTGAATAGAATATAGGGAATTACAATATAGATGTTACTGGTTACAAAACTTCATCTGCTTTAATTTATTTTTACTTTAAAAAAAAAAAAATATGTGCTCTCTGGCAGGACTTGAACTTGTGTTCCTCTAGGGGAAACCATCATTAGATCTGATATGCTTTGGACCCCAGGCTGGTAGACAAAAATAAACAAAGATACTGTTTAATAAATAAATGGAACATCTACTCAAATATGGATATGCAGTAAAAATAACATTTAAGTAATAAAATAATTTTTACTCTTAACTATTCAATATGAGTATTAGACTAAATTTAGTTTATTTAAGTATTTCCCAATTTTTAGTTCTTTTGTGCACATAAATATGTTTTAAACTATGCTGCATTTCATCAGTATAAATTTTATCACATTTACTACATGGGATTTTAGATATATGAAAAAAAAACACACATGCATATATATATATATATATATATATTTATTAGTGGGGGGAAAGAAATATTCATACACATACACATACACATTTTTAATTTACTGTATTTCCAACTAATGAATAAACATACTTTTCATATAATTAACTGTACACAGATACATAATAACTAAATATGCATAAAAAAAAACAGAAAAAAAATTTGATTTAATATGAATAAATCCCATTTATCCATTTAAAAAAAAATGTATTTTTACAATGCAAATTACAGGTTTTAAAACTTAAATTGCTTTAATACTCTAGATTATTCAAAAAGAATATTCTAGAATGTCCCAATAATGTTTTCAGTAGTTATTTTTAGCCTAAAAAATACAAATACAAAATTCTGCAATTGATATTTGTGCAAAAAAGTTATTATCATGGCAACAGGTAAAGAACTGACAAATTTGCAAAATGAACTGAATGTTAAGCTCTAGAAAGAAGGGAAAAATTGCAGTAAAATTTCAAACAACTTAAATATTCCATTTACTACCATTAGTTCATTAATTGCAAGGTAAAAAAAAACAACCTCAAAACTGTTGAAAACCAAAGAAGAACAGGTACTCCACGGAAGATTTCTGCAAGATCTTCAAGGAAATTAATGCATCAAATTAAACAAAATCCAATGGTTACGCATCAAGAGTTGCAGAATGATTTGCTTTCATCAGGAATCTATGTCATTAAATGGACAATAAGCAATGAAATTCATAGGAACAATCCAAAGTCATGCTCTCCCTCGGAAAACTCCACTGCTATTGAAAAGACACAGAGATACCAGGTTGTAATTCGTTTGTAAACATAAGGATAAGGAAAAATTGTATTGGGAAAGAGTATTATAGACAAAGGAAACCAAAATTGAGTTGTTTGGAATAATTCTAGAAATTATGTATGGAGGAAAGATGGCAATGTCTTCAAACAAAAGAACACAGTTGCAACAGTGAAATTTGGTGGTGGAAGCATTATGGTGAGGGGATGTTTTTCTGCAAAAGGTACTGGCATCATATCAGTAATAGAGGGTAGAATGAATGGCATAGCATATCAAAATATTTTGCAAGCAAATTTAATGATTTTGGTTGAAAATCTTGAACTTCCTCCTGATTGGATCTTCCAACAAGATAATGATCCTAAGCACATTATAAAATCTATGAAGAAATGGCTTGTTGAAAATAATGTAAGTATCCTGAAATGGCCAAGTCAGTACCCAGATTTAAACCCAATCAAGAATCTGTAGCATTATCTGGAAATTCAAATCCAATCAAGAGTTCCAACAAACATCCCGGATCTGAAGACCATATGCAAAGACGAATGGAACAAAATACCAACTAAAATTTGCCAATCATTAATTGAAAACTTCAAGAAAAGGTTGGTTGCTGTAGAAGTGAATACTGTCTATTCTACAAAGTATTAAATGAAGATTTGCATTCTTTTTTATATTGTACAAATACTTTTTTCACCCATTAAAATAGATAAGTGGGATTTATTTATATTAAATCAAACTTTTTCTATGCATATTTAGTTATGCATCTGTGTACAGTCAAATATGAAAAGTATGTTTATTCATTCATTAGTTGGAAATACAATAAATTAAAACTTTGTATTGTGTGTGTGTGTGTATGTATGTATGTATGTGTATATATATATATATATATATATATATATATATAAGATGCCAAGTTGAATAGTTTGGTTCAGAAGAAATACGGAGTCACTTCTGAACCTAATTTAAATAATATTATTAATCTGTCCACGCATAAACTGAGTTAGAATCGTTTGTTCTTTCTCACGGGTTGGACTTCTCCATTCCTCCCTCTATGCCTGACAAAAAGAAGATTTTTTCCGAGTTCGAGGTTTTCTATGCTCGGTTGGCAAGACTCTCTCCCACCTCTGTCGACGCGGTTACTAATTTGAAAGACCAGTTGAATAATTTCGCACACACTTTTTCCTGCTCCTCTGTCACAACTGATGAATCCAAATGGAAAGCAGAACATCAGTGTGTCGTTAACTCTCTGAGGAATAATTATAACTTGATAATTTCCAGACCTGATAAAGGTGCTGGTGTAGTTATTTTAGATCGAGCAGACTATATAACCAAAATGTCTTCTATCTTAGAAGACACTTCAAAATTTACTAGACTTAGTTCTGCTGACACCTGTGATGGAACCTCCTCATGTGAAACGAAATTTCAAAAATCACTTTTAAATTGGGTAAAATCAGGGCTACTTTCAAAGGAAATTGCCAACAAAATCCGTTCTTCCGGTTCGATTTGTCCCCGATTATATGGTCTCCTGAAAATCCATAAG